AGTATCTCCCAGAATCTAAACCATCTCACCAGTTACTCTGATCTCTGAACCAAACCAACAGGAAATCAGAGAAGACTTGAATAAAATCTCAAAAATTTCAAATTCTGCTTCATCAGAGACCTTAATTAAAAGCTATTAACTGATACACTACAAACTGTAGATGCAGAGGTTCCTCTTTGAGTGTCAATTTTGAGTCCTGGGCTATCTGCTGCCTTTATGAAGCTATTACAGTCTGGTTAGCTTTCCTTCCTGCCTCTCTTGTGTTCTGAGCAGTTCTCTGTCTCTGTTGAAGATGAGACAGAATGCTCCAAGTCCCTCTGAGTAGGGTTTAGGGCATGATTTTCCAGGCAGTATGCAATGCAGACATGAATCATAACTCCCTTTAAGATACTATTGTATTCAATTCCCTGGGTCTTTTCATCTGACTGAACAGGCTGCAGATTTTTGTTTTTAATCTAAGCAATAACCAGTTTACTCCAGGGATGAGTATTTGCTGATTGTTACTGCTGTTCTCATGCTCAGAATTGCAAACCCCTTGGAAAATGAGGCCAGCTTGTGCATGAGTGTACAAACCTGGTTTCAAATCTGGCTTGGATTCTCTCTTCCAGCTCAGCAAGTGACTGACATGTTCACTTTGGCATAGCTTCCTCCCGAGACAAGCCGTGGGCTGTGCCAAAGTGCTGTGAGGCATTCACTGTGTGTTCAGTCACACACTGGAGGCAGACTCTACAGCACCCTGGAGACATGGGTGAGATGAGGACAGTACAGCCATGATTCAGAGCTGCCTTGTACTTTGGTCTTGCTATCAGTATCATATCAATAGAACCAAGATATAAATCAGACCCCACTTCAATTACACCCTTGTGTTACTGAAATTATTTGAAAGAAAGTACTAAATCAGAGGAGCTTCAGTTCAAATTTAGGTATAGCTGAGGTTGTTGCAATTCCATAATAGTTCATTAAAGGAATTAATACTGAAAAATACACCATTTAAATACAGAAATGTCCATGTGATGGTTGTAATCTTGCAACACCTGGCATCAGCCAGTGAAACGTTCCTTTAACTCTGGTGGAACCTCCTCATCACTTGTGCTTCCAGAGCTGTCCTGCAGCCTGGTTCTCTGCTCCTGGAGTTGGGCAGGGTGGATTCCAGGGGCTGAAGTTCTGTGCTGGGAACCAGGATAGTTGAGGCATAGGGTGGGCTTGTGATCTGACAGTGCTCTGTAGGTATGAGGTGATCAGGTCTCAGCACATTACCCTAAGAAATACTCAGTCAAGGAGAGGTTTTTGGAAGAAGAAAATGGTATAGCTGCAAGTGGCTTTCAGTTTAACTTTCTTGTTTGAAATATAAAGCATGATGCAGATGAGGCTCTGCAGATAGCCCTGATTTTGATAACTGGCAAGAGCATTTCTAATTTAAAAAGTCTTCCTTCTCTTCCTATTAGTTACCTCTCTAAGCAAAGCAGCTGGCGTGACCTGGGCATGTTTTGCTTGTATTGTTGCTGTGAGACAATAGCTCAGCCTGAGGGAAGAAGACAACCTACTTACCATATCATCTGGGAGTTGTTGCAGTAGGACTTGAGAAACCAGTGTTTCTCTGAAGAGAAACTTGCAGAGACTACCTGACACTATCTGAGGAGTTAACCCAGATAGTTAAAACTGCACCTTCAGTCAGTTTGCTGACCACACCAAGTTGAGCAGGAATGTTGATCTGCTTGAGCGTAGGAAAGCTCTGCAGAGGGATCTGGACAGCCTGGATCGATGGGCTGAGGCGAATTTTATGAGGTACAATAAAGTGAAATGCTGGGTCCTGTAGTTGTGTCACAACCCAATGCAGCACTACAGGCTGGAGGCAGAGTGGCTGGAAAATTGCCCAGTGGAAAAGAACCCGGGGGTGTTGGCCAACAGCAGCTGAACATAAGCCAGCAGTGCCCAAGATGCCACAAAAGTCAATGGCATCCTTGCTTGGATCAAAAATAGTGTGGCTGGCAGGACCAGGGAAGTAATTATTCCCCTGTACTTGGGTGCTGGTGAGGTGGCACATCAAATCCTGTGTTCAGTTTTGGGGCCCTCACTACAAAAAAGACATTGAGATGTTAGAGTGTGTCCAGAGAAGGGCAACAGAGTTGGTGAAGGGTCTGGAGCACAAGTCTTATGAGGAGAAGCTGAGGGAACTGGGATTGTTTAGCCTGGAGAAAAGGAGGCTGAGGGGAGACATCATTGCTCTCTACAACTACCTGAAAGTAGGTTGCAGTGAGGTGAGGATCGTTCTCTTCTCCCAGGTAACAAGTGACAGGACAAGAGGAAATGACCTCAAGTTCTGTCAAGGGAGGTTTAGAATATAGAATATATATAGAAAAATATCCTCACAGAAAGTGTTGTCAAGCATTGGAACAAGCTCACAAGGAAGTGGTGGAGTCACCATGGCTGGAAACATCAAAAAAATGTGTGGATATGCCACTTAAGGACACAGTTTAGTGGTGAACATGGTAGGGTGCCATGGCTGGACTTGATGATCTTAGAGGTATTTTCCAACCTTAATGATTCTATGATTCTACAAGATTTGGGAGATCAAAGAACTAAACCGAGAGTTATGTGTCCAGGGAAGACAGGCTTTTGTCCCTGTGGTAGTTTACTTTGGCTGAATGCCAGGTGTCCACCAAGGCTGCGCAGATCTCCCCCCCCCCCGGGGGAAAAGGGGAGATGAAAAAAAAATGTAAAAACCCGGGATTTACCAAGAAAGGCAGTTTTATATTTATATGGAGAAAAAGGAAAAAACTAATAACACTACAAACACATAGGCAAAGGAAACTAACAGTAAAATTCTACTTCCCACAGTAAGCGAAGTGCTCTTTCTCTTTCCTCCAAGGAGCAGCCGTCCTGCCGGATAGCTATCACGGAAGGAGAGCGAGCTACTTCCTCCTCCCCTCTTTATATCTGAGCTGACGTAACATGGTATGGAATATCTTCCGAGTCAATATGAATCAGGTGACTTATCCGAGGTTTCCTCCCAGGAAAAGGAAATAAACCCACTACAGTCCCCTGGTGTCATATGTGGCCTCCACCTCTGTATCTTCTTCCCCAGTTAGAGTAGGGATGTTCCTGGTGCAGAGGACAGGGCAACAGAGAACTGTGGAGAAGGGCAGTAGAAGGCAAGGGCACCTAAATACTAGGCCTGGTGTTCACCAGAGGGTTCACCGCTAACATGCTGTCCTAGCTGGCAGAGGTTGAGAGCTACCTGACCCAGCTCCAGTTTAATGCTCTGATGTATCCTAAAAAACAAGAGTTTGCATAATTCAAGTAAAGAGGTAAGTGGAGGTTACACAAGGTCTGCAGAGAGCAGTGGGCAGGGGTCCAGCTGGGGTCAGGTGGTTTGCTGCCCTCCAGCAGCAATACATCATTTGTGATAAGAAAACTTGCAAAGAACAAGTAGCATTACAGCATTTTCTGGAGGGAAATGGAACTGTACTCTGGCTGTACTGCCAGAGGCAAGCATTTTTGGGGACATGGTTTAAGGTATCAAGATTGGCTATACATTAAGTCAAGCCTGGGACTACGCTTTTCATATCAAAGCTACTGTGTTTTTTCACAGTAGCAGTGGTCTTGCAGAAAACATTTTCAGGTGATTTATGGAACTACTGCAGTAATAAATACATAAGCAAGCAGTGTGAGTACAGTAGTTGGAGTATGCCAGACCTCTGGTCACCTGACAGCAGAGGGGTTCTTACTCATACCTTGGCAGGTCAGTGACACCAGACACAGGGAAGGTGCAGCTTACTCTGGCTCCACAAGAAGCTGCCCACCAGACCCAAAAGAGAATTTTAGTTTAATGAACCTGTCATGTCCTTGTACAGGAACAAGTAAACAACACTCACCTTCCTTGCAGTGCTTGATTAAAACAAGAATTTAGTTGCTCTGAGTTACCAGAGACATATCTTCACTGCACAGCAGCTGTAAGTGAACTGTAAATATGCCAGGCATGTGCAGTTTGCTCAGTGCCTGAAAACATAATTTCTGTAGCAGCACAGCTCTGCAGCTGACCTAATAAATGCTGGTGCTGGGCAGGGCTAATTATCTCCAATGCAGCACTGCCCTGGCATGGCTGTACGGCTTCCCACTCCAGAATTAGCTTAGCTGGGACTTGTTTGGGTGTCTGTGCTGTCCTTCACGGTATGGTGGAAATGGTGGAAGAGCATCACATGCATACACTAGACTGCGGCATTACTCTGCTCTAAATGTAATGGGGAAGTGCTGGGATACAGAGCAACAGTCACTTAACAGCTCCTCTTGAAAATTTGTCTGACTTGGATGAAGGTTTGGTCATCTTGGACCTAATTTTGGAACATCAAAATCTGAACTGTCTCTTCTGAAATCAGTGCTTGATAGTATATGGTGCCACTGAACAAAATGTTGACTAGCATGCTCCAAGTTCCTTTTTTTTCTATAAAGCAGTTACCAATGTTTGATAGATAATTACTAAATAGTGCCCCTCTGACCTATCAGGGTAACAGACCTGTGTCTCTATGATCTTTTTGCTTAAAGCCAAAATACTAATAAGTAGATATTGGGAGGTGATGTAAAAAGGTGTGCGGAAAATAATTGGGGATTCTCTTACTCCAGATTTTGAGATCAAATAAGGCAAGTGAATTGATAAAACTGTCTCAGTGTCAGGTACTTAAGTGAGAAGATAGATAAATAATTGCACATCCTGTAGCAACTGGGTTTATGGAGGTTCAGGTTGTTATATCTTAATACAGGTTAGTGCCTTATGTGGAAAGGATTAGATGAGCATTTTTGGAGACCTAATTCCAGCTAACTGTATAAACACAGTGCCCACTTCTGTTGGTCTGTAAGGAGTCTCAATTTGTTTGTCTCTAGAAAATTTCAAAATCACTCTTCTCTGTAAGAGGAACTGGGGAGATAGGGGATATATCCTAGACCAAGATCATTTGTTTCTTTTCCACTAATGCTTCCCAATTCCCACTTTTCTTTTACTTTAGTACTGGATAAATGAATACACCTCCACTTTGGGGATTGGTGTCTTCCACTCTGGCATCGAGATCTACGGCAGAGGTATGAAGTATTTCCTTTTCACTACCTGCAGAACATGGGACAATATATGCCTAGTCTGATATGGAAAAGTATCCCAAATTTACAGCTTTTGGCAAGGAATGTTTTGAGGAATGAAAAACTCAGCCAGTTCTCTTTTTAGAGTCCATTGTGCAGTCAAGGAGGAACTTGTGCAGTTCTGTCATGAACCATGTAGCCCTTCTTACTTTTAGCATGTAACTACAGCCTCTAGGCTTGTGCAGATGTGAGCAGGATGGCAGATAGGAGGAGCTATGTTGGAAAGCCATTCCAAGAGTAGTGAAGGAGAGGGATAGAGAATGGGAGAAATGAAGGAGGGCGAAGAGAGGCAGATCAGTAGTGTTTTGAGATCAGTGGTGTTTTAACACATGCATATGTGTTTACGCTAATTCCCTGTCAGAGTAAATCCATTTTCCAGTCATTCTTTATGAATGCCTATGGTCTAGAAATCTTGTAATCTGGGTTTCCAGATTTTGGAAACCGTTCATTTGAAACAGCAGACTTACAGAGAAAAGAAAATGTCTTGTAAGACTTTTGAAATTGTCTGGATAGACCTAAAGCTGATTAGAGCCACCCACTGCAAAAGGTGAAGTCAAAGGATCCGGGGAAACAGCTGTAGTGCAGTGAAGGATGGGCTAACATCACCGACTTTCTGTTTCCTTCTTCAACATTAAATGGGAATGGTTTGGGCTACTCACTCATGGTATTTTTACCCAGTGCGATTCAGTAGACAGAATCCCTGAGGTGCCACTTCCATCTCGAGCACAGAGGCTTTCACAGGCCCTGTGAGATGGCCTGTGGGACACCGTGAGGACCACAGGCTGTGTTTCACAGGCCATGCAAGGTGGCCTGTATGACATGGAGGGACTGTGTGCTGAGGCAGCAGAATGCAATCAGCCTGGCTTTCTGCAAAGACTTCCTGTAAATCACTGCCTGTAAATACCTCTGAAAGATTTGATTTCTCCCTATTCTAGAAAAGACTTCTTAAAGCTCAGTAGCACCACTGGCAGCCTCTCACAGTTTATCCAGATGCCTTCAATGCAGAACTTTCCACTGAGAGGAAGTCACCTGGGTGGGCACAGAGGCAGACTCAGAGAGTTTTCCTGGTGCTGTGGGAAAACAGTAGTGTTAGCATGGAGGGAGGCTGTGAGGGCACCCTCAGTCTGATAGGTAACCAGAGAGTGAAAATGGCTTTCTGAGTCTGGCTAAAAAAGATTTTGGCAATAGCCCAGGCCCTGGTGCTGATGTTGAGCTGTGCAGACAGCTGCCATAGACTTTTTCCTGACATGGCGTTAATTCAATTACTCACAGCCTGTTTCTCTCCTTGTCAGAGTTTGCCTATGGAGGGCATCCCTACCCTTTCAGTGGGATTTTCGAGATCACACCTGGCAGTGCGGTAGAACTTGGCGAGACCTTTAAATTCAAGTAAGGGCCCTTTTCTATATCTTCTCCCCTGCCCCTGGTAGCCATCAATGTTGGAGGAGCAGGGATGTCCTGTCCTCTGGGTTCCCCCTTCACTCTCCTCATAAGTGCCCTCATTGCACCCTTTACACGATCCTGATTCAAAGGCAGCCCTGCAGGGATTTTGGAGATAGATAAAAGAGCATGTACACCAATTAGGGAACAGTGCTGAACTGTGTTTGTCAGGGATTAAAAGCATGTTTACAAATGAGTGCAGTTCTCTTTTCCTATTTTTTTTGTTTTCTGTTCTCCCAGTTTCACCTGTTACACAGAGCCAATGCACAGGGGAAAAAATAAAACTTCTCTTTTTATGACTAACTTCTATTTGTGGATACTGCAAAGAGTACCTGAAGTCATCTCCTGTGTTTATTGTTGCTCTGTCACAAGGGACAGACTGGCTGCCAGAGGAGTCTGGGAGGATGCTGCATTCATGTGTTGTTCAAGGTGCTCGAACTGTGGGACTGTGGGTCAAGGAAATGCCCGTGGCAGGTGGTGCTTGACCTTCTCAGACCACCTGTTCATGTTGAAGGTTGTTGGAGACTTTTATAATAAGCGCTATTGAGTGAATATTGGGAGAAGCAATAGGTTTCTGCATGTTTTCAGTCTGCTTCTTCCTGGCCCACCCCATGGGAACCCTCTCAATTGTGAAAAAAAGGTATTTCCTCTGTCATAATGGAAATTTCTGTTGTGGGATGATGGGCAGAGTGAGAGCAGACCCCCAGAGCTGAGACTGCCCTGGTGGTGAGCAGGAAGCTCTCGGGGCTGTTGCCTGTGTGGTAACCTGCTTTGTGGAAAAGCTGGGAATATTATTGTGCCATTCTGTTAGTAAGAGTCTCTGATAGCCTCAGATATGATGTCCATAATGTTTAAGCCTGTCCTTCTTGCCAATGTCTGATCATTTTCTTCTCCCTTAGTATGTATCATGCTCTTCACTGTACCTTTCCATGTTTCCTGTTGTGTGTTTTGTTTTACCTAGAGAATCCATTGCCTTGGGCACCACAGACTTCACAGAGGAGGATGTGGATAAGATTATGGAAGAGCTTGGCAAGGAGTACAAAGGAAATGCATACCACTTGATGCACAAGAACTGTAATCACTTTTCTGCTGCTCTGGCTGAGGTGGGCACAGATGGGGGTTTTCTTAATTTATTTTTTACTTCTTCAGATATGTAGTAGTGCTCACAGAAAGGGAACTGGAGTCAGCACAGCCTGCCAGATTGGAGCCCATAGCCAAATCTCCTGTCTCTACCCTTAATATTTTTGGAAGCCTTTTGCTGTTGAAAGGGATTGGATCAGGAGGTGGAGATATGGTAGGTTTATCACATGTTTTGTCTAAACTTTGTTGGAAATTAGGAGTGCCTGTAATTTGTTTCACTGAACAGGCACTGAGCAGGAATTGGAAGGACAGACCTGGTTAGCATACAAATATGCATTTTAATAACAAACATAAATAACCGTACACGATCTCCAAAGGCATAAAAATGGTTTATAAGTGTTCTGAAAACAAAAATTTGCAGTATTCAGGAAATGGGTGTTCTTTTTCCTCATTTAATGTGCACCATCCAAAACACAATAAAAAAAAAAAGAATTGATTTTCTCATAGACATCTTTGGTGCTTATTCATTTCCATGTTCTCAAAACCACTGTTAATTATAGCAAAGCTGTTATTTCTCTTCAGACACAACTGAAGCACAGAGACAAATTTATCCCAGCTATCTGCTGATTTGGGGTATCTGACTTTCTTTATTCCCAAAGTTCTGATTATTTTGGGGGGAAGCTGCCTTCCTCCTCACCCCTCCAGATGGGATGTTTAAAGTGCGTTTCAATTAATGTGTGAGCATTCAGCATTTGTGTAAATCTGAATTCTGGATCTTGACCCAGTGCCAGAAAAAGATGGGAAAAGCATAAGATGGAAGTGACCTCCCATAAAAACTGTTTCTGTGCTTTCCATAGTTGTTTTATGGCAAACACAAGGAGAGAATATAATTCATTACACGAGTATGACTGCTGTCATTACACATCTCTTGCCTTTCTTCATCATATGGGGCAAGAGTCCTATGCCAATAACTTCTTTTGCCTCAAGTGTCCATTCAGCCCCAAACAAGCTCATCATGGATCCCAAATGAGATGTGTAGAAAAAATACTACATAATTTCATAAGAAATTCCCTAGTGAATCTGAGAATCAGCAATTAATTTACAAGTGACCTGCTTAGGCTCTAAGGGACACCAACTCTCGATTGGTTTCATCCTTACTAATTATATATAGAGAAAATGACTTAGTCCTTTCTGTAAATGTTAGTGAATTAAAACAAACAGGAGGAAATTGAATTGGTACAAACAGAGAATGAAGTTTCAAGCAGTACAGAGCAAATCAACATTAGCCACACAACTAGTCTGGAGTCAAATAATCAAATTACAACAGAAAATGGAAACTTCAAAAATTATGAAGGAAACCCAGGAGAAAGCTATGTGATTTACCTGCAGCAGTGAAATAAAGTTATTGCTTATGATGTACTTTGATAGGTAAAACTTTGTGAGGGGATGAGGGGTGAACAGTGGTGAACAGTGACAGGACCCAAGGGAATGGCCTGAAGTTGTCAAGGGAAGTTTTAAGCTGGATATTAGAAAAAGGTTCTTCTCCCAGAGGGTAGCTGGGCACTGGAACAGGCTCCCCAGGGAAGTGGTCACAGCACAAGCCTGACAGAGTTAAGAAGCTTTTGGACAACACTCTCAGGCACACGGTGTGACTCTCGGGGATGGTCCTGTGCAGGGCTAAGAGATGGACTCGATGATCCTTGTGTGTCCCTTCCAACTCTGCATATTCTGTGATTCTGTGTCCAAACCATAAGCTCACAGCCACTTTTCCTTGATTCTACTGGTACATATCAGTGAATCCCTCACTGCCTCCTCCTTATCTAGCCTTCCAAACACAAGTAAAATGTCAAGTAAGACATCTTATAAAAAAACCTAGTAGGGTATTTTAAATTTTGCTTTCAACATGCCTTCAGTGAGCATCTTTATAGGAGCGGAATTTAGGGTTAAGTTTTCCTCCAAGAGCTTTCTTGGTGGATTCCAAGTGCTCATTCACTGCTCTGTAACCTGTCTAGATAATAAAGCAACAGCCTGAATGGTGAGTTCTGACACTTCTGCTCCCAGGAGCAGAATTTACTCAGGATTTACATCAGTTTAAATAAACTCTTCAAAGGCAAGAAGGATTTTTTTTGTTGCTGTTGCTCTTCACATATGCCTGTGTTTATCAACCCTCTCTAAAGCATTACAAATGCAAACCCAGGGGAGCTGAACAGCAGGCCCAGGAGCAGAATGTCCTAGATAGTCTCTAGCATGGGGATATAGAAAACGGGAGCTGAAATTATTATAAAAAGTGCTGGTAGTAAGGCACTAAGCAGAAGTCCTAGCCATCCAATGTGCCTCAGTCAGCATGAGAAATATGTGTGGCTGCCTTGCAATGGATATCTCCATCTGTTTTGGTAAACACAGTAATTTGGCAATCGTGTTTCAGAGCTGGGTGAGAAGTAGCACAGCTTATCTTGGGATACTTCTGACCTCTTGAAGGAAAGACTACTTGAAATCTGTTGAGACAGAACCTGCTTGAACTGGAAGCAATGAAAGTTTCTATTCTCATTTCTCAACATCTGATTGCTTGCTCAACTTTACAACTTAAGTGATTTTTTTTCTTCTTCTTGCTGTAGTTTCCATTAAAACTAAACAAACCAAAAATCATTCCATTGGGAAGCTCCAGTCCATTCCATGTAGAGCTATAAGATGCCTCACAGTGCACAGAACATGCTGTCCAGATGATGTTTGGCTCACAAGCCTGTGTAGATATGTGTCACCATATCTACATTCTGTCACCTAGAGGGCAGAAAACAGAAACTGTACTTATGTCCTAAAATCAATTCCAAGATGAGTCTCTTTAGTGTTTGTTTTGCTCTTCAGGCCCTTCACCTGTGAAGGAGCAATAATAATAATAATAATAATAATAATAATAATAATAATAATCTATTTATGCATAGTCATGTTATGAGGCAGTTAAAGACAGTAAACTTGAAAAAGTATCCAAAGAATTAAAAGAAAATATGTAGAAATTTTACTCAACAGAATGAAATTATGCATTAGAACTGGGATTTAATTCCAGCCACAAATAAAAGCAGCCAAGGATTTTTAAGTAAGTGTAAATTCTTGGTCTCTCTGTTGCTGTAGCCCCAATGGAAGGTGATGCTATCTGTACTGCAATGCCCTTTCACCCCAGAGAGGGGTCAGGGTGGAGGATACTTTTTAGTTTGAAAGAGAGAATGACCAGCTGTGCTTTCAAACAGCCTTTTAGACTTTTCTCCTCATGGGCATAAGCAGTTGCAGACAATCAAGGAGATGGTTGTTTTGAGCCTTGTGGCTAATGCCAGGCAGATCACTTCCCCGCTCTGTGCCCAAGTATCCCCCCCTTGTATACTGGGTTATTTCCTTCCTTCAGAAAGGGCCCTGAAATCTTTCAGTGACAGCTCTTTCATCTGCCAATGTTAATTATCTGGTTTATGGTTTTTAGCATTCTTTTCAGCATGGAAAACCAGAGATAGAGCTTTATAGCCAAGTGGTGATGTATGAGTTAATGCATGTTTATGCAAATGCGTCTAGCAAGCCTTGAGATTTGGTTGTAGGCCTGTGATAGGTAGCTGTGTTTGGTAACCCTTATTTCTTTATCTGACTTTGGGCTTGCTAATTAGCGTCCAGACAGATGTTACCCTGGTGGAAGGGCCATGGCCTGGGAGGATAATACCATCTGGTCATGCAGACTGAGGGCAAATGTAGCCATGTGTGTTGCTGGCTGAGGTCACAGTTCTGAAGAGGGAAGGGAAAGGAGGTGTAAGATTGGCTCTACTTCCCATATTGGCTTCCTCAGGATCACACTGTGAGACAACGGTCACATGTCCAATTGCCACGACCTGTAGGACAGGTTCCTCATTCTTGGAAGTACTGCTAAATTACAGGAGCCGGACTTTATTTTCAGATATTTGTTTTCTTTCCTTTACCAGTGTTCTCTCAGTAAATAAAACATCCATTCAGAAATCTTCTGTCTACATTTGTTAAAGAAAGATTTTTCTGCCGAATTCCCATTTAATACAATGATGCCTTGGGTTCTACCATGATAACTGGTATTTGTAGTCTTCAACAGTTACATGCAGGCTGACTGCTAATGGTTAGGGGCATGTCTGGACCTATGATCATGACTCTGCCATTTGGCCATGCATCTTGAAAAATCCCTAGACTATAGGAAGTTCAGCACAGGCAGATAAGCTCTGCTTAACCACTGGACATGCCTTTGACCTACTATCTACCTCTGGAAAAACTCACTTTGCAGTGCAGCCTCATTGTGTGCTGCTGTGGCATTTAGCCTCTCCCCGCAATGCCATGCATCTCATCTGAGTCTTCTGATCTTCCTGCCCACATTCACTTGTAAGCTGCAAAGGGCTTTGTTACTCTCTAATTGCCACTTACCTCTGAATTTTCCCTACTCCCTACTGCAGACTGCCAAGCATATTCACCTCGCTCAAGACTTAGTTCTCTCCCTCCTTTGCCAGTTCCCTACAGACTTCTAATGAGCAGTGACTGGATCAAAGAAGCATGGCTGGGTCTCCTCACAAGGCAGCTCCTCTGGAAAGAAAACATAGAATGCCCAAGTTTCAGCTGCAGGAGTTCAGATTTCAATCTTCCCCAATGCCATTTCATGGCAGTCTTATCAGTAAGTGATTCAGTGAACATGTTGCATGATCAGGAGTCTCTTCCTGTGGATTCTTCTTCATCAGGAACTTTGGGGTTTTTTAAGAAGTGAAGAACTATCAGAAAGCGTGTCTGCCTAATAAGTGATGCACACCATCTTAATTAGTTTTGAAGGACGTTCTGATGTAAAGTAGGGCAGAATTTCCTAGTGGATAATCATGAGAAAATGAGAAAGAAATCAGATGCACTCCCTGTGCATTTGCCCAGCTTTAACTTAAGGTCACTGGTACACACACCACTTAATACCCCTTTGCAGTCTCCCTTTACCCTCACCATTTATATCCGTGTATGAAGGCAAGAGGAGCTGGATTTAAATCAGCACTCT